ATCAAAGGATACTCCTCCACCATATGCTTGGCTCACTACACTGCAAAAACTGAATAATTCCGCTACAGGTAACCATTAGCAATAGATTAATAAGTAATAAATACTTAATAACTTATTGTAATATCCCCTGTACTAATAATCCCCTGTACTGTAATAATAAATTCCTCGCGTCATTCAAAACTGATTTATTATCATCATAGTTGAGCATCAAGTTCCATGTCAGATCTGTAAACGAAAGCCTTTGGTTGGCCTCAGGTACAAGTGCCTTCACTGTCATAACTACATCCTCTGTCAGGTAGGTACCGCAGGCTCATGTCGCACCATGCGATCGCTTTGCAATGCGTGCATTCATTCGTCGAGTTTTTCAGATTTTTTGCTATTCTTGGACACCTTTAATTTCTTTTTCGTGAGTAGCCTTCATAAACCGTAGATTTTGTGGCTGTTATGTTATGAGTGGTTCAGATCACTATGCTRCAAGCTATAGCGCCTTGAAAGTGCGCACGTATGCTACTCACTAATTCGGGATGTCTTTGTTGCTTCGTTTGATAACTTCGATATTCCTCGGATAACTTCGGAAGTAATACTCCAAGAGCAATCAACCATAAATGACTCGAGTGCCACTTTTTGACGCCAAAAATCAGTGTTTTCGTTTGTTGATTGGTTTGTTTGAGTGYTTTTTACTGTTTGTAGGATTGTTTCTGGAGAGGTAAAGTTTCTCAAGCGCATAAATCTGACCATGATGTTCGTGAATATACAACATGGGTGAGTATTGCATTATGGGACGGTGTTGACGATAGCGGTGTAAACGAGTTCTATATGCTAATGAACTTTGTTCCCAGGCTCCCAGCTAACAATAACTTTGTATGAATTGTCAGAAAACTGGAGAGCGTGGAAACTCAGTGAGAAGCAAATTTATGTGTAGTTCAGGGAAGAAGAAGAGGCCCTCGTTGCCAGACTATCCCCGCGAACCAGAACCTAGCAAAACACTGGATATGTCAAATGTGGTGTAAGTATTCATGGGATCCCTGTGTACAAAAACAAACACAAATACGAATTCAATGCATATGAAATAATAAGTTGAGTCGTTTGAATTGAATTCAGCACATGTGAGTTTTGCCGTCTAAATGGCCCTACACGAGCAGTATATCATTTATTTATATGGGATTCCTTTGTCTGCATTTTTATGTGTGACCGCTACCCAGTTTAAACGTATTCTCGCTCCYTAGCAACAGTGTTCTAAAAATATTAACCAGCAASGTACYGATTAATCAGTCCTTTTGTCGAAACWTTCAATTGTCTATAATAAAGCAAAAGGGTGAACTTAATATAAAATGACATAAGCCAATAAGAAAGTTTAAAAATTAAATTAGCTCTTTGAAGGAGGATTTTTTTTCAATGGCGAGATTCGCGTGAGACGAATTAGTGGGCTGCCTGTGGTGGATTATCTGCGGGGTTCCTGTCTTGGGGCGAATAGTTTAAATAGTTTTGTGCCCACCAATGAGAAAGTGGTAGACCGCATTTTGACCAATCACAGCGAGTTCTGGCTTGTCCAATCATGGTGCAATAATATTTAGCTTGACCAATCAAAATAAACCTTCGAGGGTCGTCAGTAAAAGCAGAAAGACTTCCCTTTTTAATAAATTTGGGTGCAAATTTAATTTGATTTTTTCATTAACGATAGTTCTAATCTAATCTCTTTTTGACCAACCGTTTTTTGCATAACAACTCGCTGTAAGGAGAGAGACTRTAAGAGAGGGATTTTTCAATTAAAATGTACATTTTTCTTTTCATTTTTTCTTTTCTTTCCTCTGTCAAGAATYACTGGCAAAATACTTATAGCACCATTTTGTAATGTAACTGTTTGTGTGCACGCTAAATTGATAATAACTCTTTCCGATTTATGCGAGRAAAAAAAATTATTTTCGAAAACAATTTTCATGGCTATTTTTACTCGTCGCTTGAAACGCCCTCGTCCAAAATATTTACTTTTAAGAAGTTTTATGATTTGTTGACCGCATATTCTATATTTTCATTTGCAACGTTATCTCGAAGTATTCAATTCGACAAAAACCGCAAACTATTGTTTGCCAAACCTGAGGAAAGAGAATTCAAAATGTAATTATTTATTAATGGTATTTGGATTAAGGAATTCCGCGGAAATTCTCATTCATATACAATGAAGATAACTCTAATATGGACAAAATATCCTTCACGAGATTGCTCAAAAAGACAYTGAGAATTTTGGATGAATTTGAGCGATTTTTAACATGAATTCCGACGACGACTCGCGTTGTGTTGTACTTAAGTTAAAACCGGGACAATCCTGTTACATTGTAACCAGAAATTCGAAAGTGAAGCTTCATTCTGCGCACACACCAAGCCCTCGAATAACGTAAGTGACGATTAAACTAAAACCCTGAAATGTTTCTCTTAAAGCGTGTTATTTGTGCTTTTAGATAACTCAACTCTTTTTTAGGATGTTTTTGATTTTGTTTCAACCCCATCATAAGGTCTTGGATTACACTGTTTAGTTTACACTGTTTAGYTTGTGACAAGCTGAATGTTATTACTTCAGACACAACTTCTTTGATGTAATGCGATGTTTTTGTCGATAAGATTCGAGCAGATCAAATGTTTATACTGGAAGATCATCGAAAGCATATTCTGGAGAAACACAGATTTTAAAATAGGATTTCTAAAACACTGTATTCAAAATGAGRTTTTKTCGTGATTTTGTCCTAATTTGCGACGAATCGTCTATTTTATCCTATTTACTTGGTAATTATTTTATCTTTACCAGTGATAAGTACTGTTTTATTGAACACAAAACGACATGAAATGGAAAGCAATGAGTTCAAGAATTGATGAGAAGAGAGATTGGATGAATAATGAATGACATGAGATCATCRTGTCCAGCGGTTATTTTGCTGAGCATGCGTACTTTATTACGTTATTTTATTGCCAAAGGGAGCCCAAGAGACCTAAAAAGCAAGGCATCTTTTTTAAATCAAACAATTGTCTCGATGATGAACTCGATGAAAAGATAGCAAACTCAGATAGCCAACTCATAATGACGTCATGCGGTGTTCGGCGAGTTGCATTATGGGATTGATATACGGAAGTTCAAACTGAAGCTATTTTATTGTGTTGGAGGGTTTTTTTGACGAACAACATGCATAAAGTTTTTCTCAGACAAGTCCCTCTCATACAGTTACGGTCAAGTCATCCTATTCAGTGTTTTTGCAATAAAAGCAACATCTGCCATATATTTATTGGTACACTTCGCCAAATGTTTGCATTGCTCTAAAGCTGATTCTCATAGCTTCCCAGATGCATTAGAGTTTATTAATGTCGAATCCAGTTCCCCGTGTTTCCCAAAGTTTCTCACTGACAACAACATGGCGGGCGTATTATTTAGCACAGGAAACCCAACCCACCAACTACTCTATTGCCACAAACAAAAGCAGCCACCGCAAAAACTATTTCAATTTATTGATTTTTTTTATTGCAGTCCTCCATTACCATCGGATTTGTCAGGACCAGCCCATGCCACCTCGGACTATGCAACGTCACCGTCGCCAGAGTCAGGCGCGTCATCCGTGTCGTCAAACCCGCGAAAATTTTCCGACTCCGACTTCGACGCCAGGTGAGTTCGCTTGGGATTCTGGAGGTTGTTGTTGTTTAGAGKWWTTTTGTKTRCGAGTTGTTGCTGCAAAGCCGCTTGCTGTGTGGTGGATGTTGTTGTTGTTTATTGTAGAGGTAATCTTTGTGTAGAGCTATAGATKTTTTGACTGTAACGCCGTAGAAAACTCTTTTTTTCAATTTCCTAATAYCTCTTTCATGTCGGTATCAGCATCAAGTAGTCTTTGGCTTAATGAAATCGCGGTTCTTTCAAAGGAAAATCGCTTTCCTATTGGTTATAATAATGATRATAAAAATAAAAATATTTATTGGACRTGTTTTTGCCCCTAACTGAAATACAACATGTTKACAAAATTAACTAACTTGGTCGMCKGCTAATCGCATCTCGCAGGTCCCAAAGCTACCACAATCCTTTRCGTTAYTAGCAAAAGTKCTTCGTTTTATTTATGACAACATCTTTTCAGTGGGAGWACTCGTCGGGCGTATCTATGTTTCTACCCTTGGGGCAARCACTAAAAGGCTCAAGCATTCGATAGCATTGTTTGCTTTCACTGACATCGAATTTCCTTTTGCTTGCTCCTCTTGAAGATAATTGTCTGAAATTGTCTCTGATGGTGCCTCTACGCGTCGCCAACCAGGCACCCAATAATTGCTATATTTTGATTTCGAAAGAATGTTTTTCTTTCAAAAAAAATCTGCCAGACACAAAGTAAATTGTGAGATATTTTTGTGATATGAAGTATGAATAAAATGAGATGGGTTTGAAATGTGGAATACATAAAAGCCCACGAGATGTTTAAAGCAAACTATATTTTTCGTTTATTKATTGAAATAGTTTGTCAATGGTAGATGTTCAAAGCTCAAATGATACAAATTGCTCCCTTATGTCGCTAAATCATAAATTTTTCGCTTGTCAAACCTTTCTTCTTTCAAAGTATCGCAAAAATAAAAAGTATCTTTTTAACAGGACACTCTACATATTTAGCGAATACAAAACTTCGTCGTCGTTTGCTAAAATRTATAAAAAGAAGTACCAACGGATTGTGSTTTAGTAATTTCCTTTCTTTKTGAACGTATTTTGTTTTCGAGGAGCTGTTAATAAAAGCGACGAAAGTTATTTAGCTGTTAAGTGGAAAGTCGAGTACACAGAAAAACTTATTAAAGCAAAATTTCATTTGTGTTTTTTTTTTTCGACAGCGGATGAGAAAAGATGATTGACATTTGAGTAATTGTTGTTTTTTTTGGAAAGGTTGAGAATTCTTTGTTAAGAAATAATTTTGGGTTGSAATGATGTTGGTGGGAACGACACTTGAAATGGGAATGGAATGGAAGGGGAAACAAGAAAATGAATGATGTATAAATGGATGGATGAATAAATTAATGAGAAATAAATAATTGGACGGATAGTTAAATGAATAGTGGATGAATTGTGGATGGGTAAACTAGTGGGAAATACAAACCGCTAAATGTAGCTAAAATTTCAAGTAAGCAAACAAGAACTAGAATTTTCACCGATACACGATCAGATATTCCATTTCATAATCGAATCATTGATCAAATAAACACTATTATTGTACAAACATATTATTGCGTGCCAAACAGCTTGCTGCAAGCAAAAACTAAAAAAAGAAGCAATAATTTTTCAATGCACGATCAGATATTCCATTTCAGAATCGAATCATTGATCAAATAAAAAGCATTGTTATTGCAACAACATGTTATTCTTACGTGTCAAACAGCATGTTGTTGACTTCATTGTAATGTAAACAGAGAAACGATATCAGGAAGAATTCAAAGTGTTTTCTATTAGATTATGCGCTCTTTTCATATTCAAGTGGTAGACATTGATTTCAGATAGCGCACAATATTTCATTATTAGCCGGTATTGAGCCCCATTTGAATTTATTACATTGAATGAAAAGTATAGCAAAAAATGGGATATAAAAAAATGAATTTCATCAAATTTTCATCGTAATATTTACAAAATTCGATATCTACAAAATTACATTATAAKTGAAGTGGGTTTCAGTACTTAAAAAGTGGGAAAAAATGTACAACTAGTTCGACCTTTTAATGTTGACAACATCTTACAAAGAAATTACAAATTTGGAGTTTGGTAATAAACTGATTTATAACGCTCGAAAAAAACACTGCTTTTACGGCGAAAACGTGAAAAAAGAGTATTATAATAAAGCTCCTTAAACCATGAGAAAGATTAGTAACCAAGGAAGTTCATTACTTATACTGTCGMTGTRYTTAAATAAACTCMTGAGTGATATTTACACGCGAAAAYGTCTACTTGTGTTTGATAATTCCGCCATTTTGAAAACTTGTTTCTGCGCACGCGCTCATTGGCTCATTAAAGCCGGCACTTCATTTGGCCAACTGTAATTATCAACAATTATTTTGGWTATTTACATGACAAAAGCCCACAGGGTGGAATTCTACAATAGGAGATTTCTTGTGTTTCTTTTGGCTGAATGATTACGACATCCTGCCAGATTCAATTCAAGTAGTAAGCTTTTGTATAATTTATACCATTTAAGAGCTTAAACCTAATTTACCCTTTTGCGAAGAAACGTCGAAGTCTTGAAGAGTGTCTGCCGCGCAGAAATCCGGCAAAAGTTTTTTTTATATTGAAATCTGCCTGATTCTATCAAAGAGGACCGCTTTCGTATCGATGTCGTAAATTAGGACTCACATTTRATCAATTTGATTTGGGGGTAGTTTGTAAACACTGCATTATACACATAGTATATATGCGTGAATTGACTTGAAAACGGTGCGTTTAGTCGTAAGAGGTCGTTAGATACGCCAGACTCAAGTCTCAACTGCACAGGCCGTGAAAACTAAATTGTAGCTCACCGTCAAAAACGCGCCGTTTACCATGGATACTCTTTGGGACGTCTATGGGTACGGTAAATCAAGTTATTTACTAAAATTATACATCGTTATTTAAGAATTTACTGGATAAGATCTRATTTTATGACATATTTTTATCATTTTTAACCATATATAATTTGTCTGGATTTGAAGTCATTTACGAGAAAAGTTTTGTAATTTCTTCCTCCTGTGAAAGCATTACACAAAGCTATTGTTGATGAATGTCTGTCTGTGGTGCCTTGGTTTAATATGTTAGCTGTCTAAACCTTTTTTGTGTGAATTGTTTTCTATTAGTTTTTATTTTCGCGCAGTGTTGATATTTTTTTCACTCTGTTTTTGTAGGATGGACGACGAGCATAAGTTGATTTCCCGCTATGCCGCAAGGTAGGCTACTAGCGTTCTTTGTGTCAAATATTTCGTTTTCTAAATCATTATCGAGGAAGCAAAGCGTTATATTCTTTATCTTAGAGTTCATTTTGTACTAATTGTGTCGCTTGGCCATAATGAATTCAATTTTCGCGTTCTTCTTGTGGATAGAAGACCGACGCGCGCCAGCTGCCTGGCTCATAGCTCACTTTTATTCTCACTCTTAAACATCTAAATCTCTTCCATTTTACTTCATTTTATTATCTAAAAACCAAAGATAATAACTGTGGTTGTCCAGTGAAGAAAACGACAATTTTCCTACAAGAAATATTCAAGTATTTCAGTGAAAATGTTGTGATATTATACATTTAARATTAATTGCTTTTTTGCGCGCACTTTAAGTTGAAGTCATTCCAAATTGTTCACCGTATTCGCTAAGTTTAAACCTTTTCTTGAGTTTTTTTGTCGATATGTTAAACAAGTATTTCAGTAATTGTTCTCTAATTGTTTGTGGTTTATACAAAATTATTTTATTCATTTTTATGTCTTGTTTAAAGAAAGGAAAATTGAATGCTTTGCAAATGGTGTTTGTTGTCTTACGATTGCTAAGAGCAATTCAGACTCAAAAGCTGGTTTTTAATCAAAACTCCGTGTAAAACTCCCGTAAAAACCGTTGAAATACAATTGAGAATTTAAGCTTTTATGGATTTCTTTGTATTTAAGAGCTAAGGCCTCCTTTTCATGGAAAAATGCCCATATTTCGAAAGAATTTCTGATAATTTCACACGCGTGACTTCAGATCTTTTTCAATGTGATTTTTTTAAAGTTTCCTTGCATTTCATAAAAAAAAAACTAAATAAAAAATTTTCCTTTTTATGATAATTCCTAGGGTGAAATATTTTTAGTGAACGATTTCAATATTCATTGAACCACTAAACTAATTGCTTATCTAGAAAAAGCGAAAATTAAATTTTCATCGTTCATGTTGTTGTTAGGACTTAACTTGTCCAACATGGAAKCTTAATCAACATCTTTAAGGAACACTAAACCTCAGCGAAAATGCTGAATGCCTCTTTATGGTAATTTTGGTTCCAAAGCTCGGGTTGTGTAGCGCCATGGGATACTTCTTCTGCGTACTGAGTTTCCAAAAACTTCCGTTTTGAATTCGCAGCTGTGATATWACTCGACTACGTTTTATTGAAACTGTTTCTTATTGAATTTCGGCTCAAAAACGTGAGTTTTATACCTCGCCTGTAATGAAAAACGCAAGGCCAAAACGCAAGGGAAATGTAATAAGTTTTATTGAAGCTGTATCGCTAGCATTTTTTCAGGTCAAATATGTATAAGTTTTCAATCGCGTCTTTAAATACGTATGGCTAAAACGCAAGGCAAATATGCTATATCTAGTTCGAAGTCTTYCAGATCAAATCTGCAAATTTTTATCGCTTCTGTTAAAACRCAATGCCTAAACGCAAGGAAAACATCATACGTTTTATTCAAGCTACAATTGTAAGTGTCCATATGAACTCGAACCTTTTGCTTACGGAAGCGCAAGGGCAGCGCGTCACGTGAAAGAGTCGATTGAATTTACACGCAAGTATAAACTAATACGTGTACGTGTGCGATAGATATCGCGTTAAAGTGCTGTGAAATATTCATCGCGGAAGGAATTTGTATTYAAAACATTTTTTAATGGGAAAGTCGCCTGGTGTTGTTTGAGGAAGTCTTGTTCATTAGGTAGGAAATCCCTTTCGCGCYATATTAAATTCCTGCTAATTTTTTATTGTACTTGGAAGAATGATATAAAGCTGAGAGCAATAATTGTAATTATCTGAAAATGAAACGAAGATAAAAGCAAATCAAATTTCAAGGAAACTATTCTGAGCGCGYGATTTCCGTGTTGATTTGGTCYTAGACCRAAACGTRTTGTTTATSTACGTAATTTTGWACACTCTGAATTTACCGCGTGCTAACAACAATGACTAGTGAATGATATTGAATGATATAACTGATATTGAGTTATGGTAGGTCTAACGCATGTAAACCATGTTATCCCATCATGCCATCTGGGCTTAGCTTTCATCGCTGATTGGAATAGTGTATTTTGATAATAAAGRCGATACTCCTCGATCCCATATGTCGCTTTTCATCAATTATTGACTGTATTGCACCTATAGTTTCTCAGTCTTACTACAAATCAGATATCGTACTAAGATATTACGCGTCTTAGACCTATCTATGGCGTATTATCTCTTCTAAGCAGTCGGTCTGGCGTCGTTGGAGCTAATCGCGTCTTAAAGTGCCCCAATCTCCGTTCTTCTCGCTTGTGCTTAGTTATTATCGCTGTGGGCTCGAGRTATTTTGCTTATTAGTATTCATGACTAGCTGCAAGACGCTTGTCTAATTGGACTTGAGACTAGTAAAAAAGTAATGTCGAACTGTTTAACAAGAATTGTTTTTTTTTYCACTGGACTGCAGTGAAATAAATAGTTTATTGACAATGAGAAAGTGGGAATATAATAGGCTGCCTGTGGACAACTAAGGCAGCCTATCCCCCTCCCTTTTCCCCATTCTGGGTTAAAAATATATATAGTTATTTCTTCCGTAGGGGGGAGGGGACAGTGCACAGGTAGGAAATCGTGACGAGTAAACTGAAAGATTTTTTTTCTTTTTATGTTATTAGGCTTGCTGCTAACTCGGTAAGTATCTTAACAGCAATACTACTTCACTTTGAGCAACAATCAATTCCAGTCCCCAGAGCCTGAGCTGCTATCTTTGGTGGACGGGTCCTGGGGACGTTGATTCCACTGCTTTTTAACCCGGCTTATATTTGACTGGTTCCATTCCAGCGCGGACAAAAACCGCCGTCGAAATCATCGAGTGAGCTGAGTATAGACTCCAACAAAGARCAACGAGAACTTATTCAAACCTTAGAAAATAAAAACAGGTAAAACCGGTTTGACATGTTATAGTCGAATACTTCATAGATGTAATGGTGATGGATACGTTTGCATTACGTTTACCWTGTGTTTAYAGTGCGTTTACGCTACAGTTACGATATGATTACGATACGTTTGTTTACGATACGGTTACGATACGTTTACAGTTACGATACATTTGTTTCAATACGTTAACAATACGTTTWTCCAGGCTTCTTCTAAAAGAAATCAGAAGGCTTCGAGACGAACACGATGAAGCGTCCAAATCCGCCGCCCAAATTGCACAAAACCCCGAACTTCTCGCCGAACTAAAGCTTCTTCGACAACGAAAAGACGAGCTCGAGATGCGCATGAGTGCGTTGCAAGAAAGTCGTCGAGAACTTATGGTCCAACTCGAGGGGCTTATGAACCTACTTAAAGTAAGTCCCAGAGCGAATGATTCGTTCGTCCGCGAACAAGAACAAGTTATCCCAAACGGCAATGCTTAACGCTGTCTTGTAACCCACTACGTTATTCTTGGTCGAACCTTGTGATATGGAAACCTGCTTATTCCGATCTATTAMCCTCTCATAACCGAACGAGTGTGATCTATATGGTGTAAATGCTCAGTTGTCCGAGCGATGGGAAGCCTGTGTAGTCCGACCTTTTAACCTCTCATAACCGAACGATTGATTGTCTGTGCTGGAAGTACTCTTGTTATCTTGTTATCAATATGGAAAAGCTTGTTCTTCAAAACGCTTAACCTCCACTAACCGACCTAACCGACCTCTACTCGTGTGTTGATACCTGTATGAGCGACTGAAGTGCTGGGGAGTTTGAAGTAATTGGACTTTTTAAACATCTCATCAAAGGCTTGATATAACATGTATTGTAATTAGACATTTATGGTTGTTAAGACAGCTTAYGTAGTGTCGTGAAAGGCGATGTAGGTGTCCATATCTACGAGGTTCGACCGTTCTTTCGTAACGTTTCTTGGGTAGATTTCTTATGACTTGTGTAACGTTGGACAGTGACGCGTAACGTGTTACGATATGAAGCCTGTCAAAACGTTTTTGGATGCGTTTTCTSTTGCGTAAACGCTTTAGCAGCGCGGGGAAAAACGTAAATCATGTCATACGAAATCTCTCAATATACTATCCTAACAATATTCAATTTCTTGTATATATATATATTATATATTTAAAAATATTTGATATCTTAACATAACTGTCTTTTTGTCCGAAGTACTTTTCAATGTTTTATTCCCAATTTGTTGTGCTTTCTTGTTCTTCATCTTTCTCGTGCCCAGACCCCGCGAATCGCCGCAGGCAGAAGGTAACGCGGGCTCCGGGTTCGAGATTGATGCTCTTTCCAACTCAGTCAACGCATGAATTTCCAGTTGAGACCGCTGATACGTTACGTTTTCTYMTACGAATTATTTTGTATTGATATGCGTCAGTATTTGGAAAAAAAATTCATATTATTTTGAAGTATTTCATCGCAAAAACACAATAATACTGTATTGACAATRTTATTTTATATCTTATAGTTACATAATAAGGTTTTAATACCAAGTAARAAGTCATTGTAAAAATAAAAATATACCATCCGTTRTGTAACCTACTAATGTTAACCACTGGTCAGACTGACTGCAGTAAATTTTAAATTGAAATAAGAAAAAATAAATGCAGAAATAACCAAAGTAATTGAGTAAATTTGTACAAAGGAAACATAATCCTGAGAACTCTCTGTGGAACCACACTGGACTTGCAGGTTGATTTTTTTATCGATTTTTGAGAGAGGRTAAAAATATACTCRTAGGGGTAGGGAGGGGAGAAGGTTGTGTAGCCAAAAAGCGCATAGGGGTTRCGATGAAGATTGAGCTGTACAAACAACTCCTTACAGGGGTGGGGAGCAAASAGCATAGGAAAACTAAAGTGCTTATAGAGGAGCTGAGGAGTTGGTAAAACTTAGTTTCAGTAGGGTTGGGAGCTGTCAAAAAGAGMAAGATGATATTGATCACGTGAGAATTCTCGTCATWGYGCTGACAAGAACAAACCTAACACTTGAACWTGTTGTGGGACCCCKGTGTTTTATCCAGATACAAATGCGGTTTCCCTGTGTTATATCAGTGTGCGTTGGTCTGCCTGTGTCATTGACAGAACAACGTGGATGTCTCATCACCATATTCTCACATGTTATTAATAAACAAATCTTCAAACCACATTTCCATTTTTTCATTTCCCACTTTCATTCCCATCTCATTTTTTTTTTTACGCCTGACTTTTAATTAATCCACATTGTTCTGTCGTCTCTTGCAGGCAGACAACCTGTGACATCATCACTGACGCACGACTGACGTCATCACTAATGTCTACATGACGTCATCTTTGACTTACRAGGTGGAAGTCTGGGACTTGTCCTAATAAAATATATCAAATAATTATAAACAAAAATTAACCCTGAATATTGCTTTTGAAAGCTCTTAATTTTATATTTTATGAATTTCTCATGAAAAACTTTACTTTGAAATGTTAAAAAACGGAAGAACAATTTATTATAAAAAGTTTAATGTTTAAAGTTTAAAGTTTAATACTTATTTTAAGCTCATTTTATATATGCTGACTTGCATAGTTACCATAAAGAGTGACGTAKTATTTCCATCGGGATTCCCAGTATCAAGAGGATTATGGGTACCTTATGAAAAAGCCTCAAAGACTCATGGGATTCAGGTTACAAAGCTTGATTAGCCTCGTGTCCAGGGTCTCTCTGCTCGCTCTTAAAAAATGGCGTCGCTTACAGTGTCCGCCATTTTGTAAATAGTAAATAGAGAAGGTCCTGGAGACGAGGTCAATGCTGGGCAAAAATACATCAAAATGAGTTACGATACAGAGGCCTGGAACTAGTCTTTATGGCAACCAAATCATTGGCAAAGATTGATGGGTAATTACCTTATAAGGAGAATAAAAATTAAAGGTAATTTTTATAATTTATATCAAATTTCTTAAAAGTAACGACTCATAATATATTAAGATAATAAATATAAAATTAATATTAAATAATTGAGAATTACATGGCATCTTATCGGTTAATGTTGGACAGCGATAAATCATTCAATCACGCGTTTGTATCTTAACGTTGATTGGTTGACTTTACATGAGTATCAGGCTCCCAGGCCCCCTCCGAGGYTTGATCTCAGGTTCTTGATTGGTCGATTCTTGGTCACAGCTCTGACGCGGAGGCGCTGCGTAAGCAGTTAATTGAACTCTAAACACAACTAAAACCCTCGTCCAGATAGGTTTGTTCTTGCCGCAGTTTTCTTCGTCCTTAAAGGGACACTGTCAATGGATGACATGCGCGAGTAAACTTGAAAATACTAGKCTAGTGTTTTCAAGTTTATGACTCCAAGTTGGCGCGACATAAATCAGMTCGTAAACGTRAACAGATCTAGAATATTCCAAAGTKTGTCAAARGCAYCACAAAATGATTTACCTCGAAGGTTATACTTTCAAAGTCCGTTWGAGGTGAGACTGTTACTGCACATGTCATCCATTGRCAGTGTCCCTTTAATGCGAATGAATCATTGCTAGCAGGAGGTGATGTATAACCGTTAACTGTGTAATCATAGTGTCTTGATGGGGACCCTGTGCTTAGAACTAATAAGCTGTGGATTCTTTCGAGACAAAAGTTCTGGACTTCTGTTTGAGATGAATGTAATGTTTTTAAAATGAATGTAACAAAATGATATAAGAATAATAAAGATTACTAGTGTAAAAATTAATAGACAAATAAAAATTATGGAAAAACTAAATAAAAATAAAATCTATGGTACATGAAACTAAATAAATATATATATTTTTAACAACATTTTCTTYAACARCATTTTCATCGCCATAAAGGAAGAAATTGAACGTGYAGWTCGCGTAGSCTCCTTCTCAGKYTACTCATCGAACAACTTTCCTCATCCAAGGAAAAGCTTACAAAAATGGTTTATAGTTTTCGAACGCGACTTGAAGCATTATCATAAAACGCTCAATTCGATCTAYTTGAACTAGGATTGTTTGAYATCAYWKTAAACAAAAAGTTTGATTAMGTTTTGAACTAAAAAGGCAWCCTATTCTTTGCACAATTTATTTTCAACAGGTTATTTTTGGAAATTATCTCATCTGTTTGCGCATAGCATAGAGCTTTCTGATGCAACCTAAAGGCAKTTTGAAAGTTGCGCAACTTAGAAATAACGATATTTTTAGTAAAAAATTCCGATAAAAAGAGAAATTGGACGTCACCATATAATCCYTYTCCAAAAGAATGTTTTTGAGAYGCATTTTAACTCCACTTAGTATATACAACACAAAGGCTAWTGACGTTAGTAGACCAGACCGATTATCGCCATTGGATTGTCTGAAAACTTTCCAAGACTATTAACACTGAGCTKTAGCAGACTTCTGTGTCTTGCWCSTTCTATCTTTCTTTCTACAGTGGATTCTCKTTCTTATTAACGTGTGAACAATTTGCTAATACGTGCTTCAAGCCTGAASAAGACGCATTAAGTACGTCGAAACGTTGCAAAGGAAATAAACCAGCATTTTAGGATCCCGAAAAACAACAACAACCAAAATATTAACTACGAAATGCGAAACAGTTTCAAGCAAAGTATAATTTTAAAGACATTTTCTTTTGAATTGCCATTTGTAACGTCCATATCTCTCTTCTCTCGATCAGATGGTTTTCAAAGTGAGATTTTTGGAATTGCAACACTGAAATTGAGGTTTTGTTTAGCATATTTTACTTAGTTTAGATTCCACTCCCATTAGAAGGATATCAAAAACTTTCGTTGATAAATGACTTTCAATGAACAATTCCCAATGCTAAGAAATAATTAATCTAATCCATCTATATCACCACGAGGTGTGAACACTTTAGGACACAACCTTTATTCACAAAGGACATTGCARAACCTTCCGCTCTAGCTAACTAAAAACCAGTTGTGATTTGACCGAGATAAGGAAATTTGGTCGCCCAAAAAGGAAGGCTTATTCTAATGCTTTATATAGTTGAGTTCACTCCGGTTCTTTTGAAGGAAATAGGCTCGCCCCTGCTGAGCTATGTTTGAAATTTGCWGACAAAAAGCTAACCCAACCGTAGTYGATGGGGGCGGGGTGCMGGYGATATCAGGATGCGTTCTTGTGTCTCAGTTCCTTGCGCTCAAACAAAGGCAGCCATGATATATAAACCGCTCGCGATAGTGCATGTGCACTTGATCACAACTTCATACTGAAAGCCAGCGAAAAGCAAGAGAGACAAATTTTCAGAGAGATTTCTCCAGTCTTCCAGCAACAAGATGCAGCCTTCAAGTTTAAAAGAAAGTTTTCTTGAGCTGACAGCAAACAAATCAGTGATTTTGATTAGTTTTTTGACCTTGTTTTCTAACTCGTACTTTTTGTGGAGTTGGCTCGGCCTGGGAATTGAGGCACCATGTGTTCAATGCGCGGTCATGTCGACGTTGGACAGCCTGTCAAGTGGAGCTTGTCATCTACGGCCGAAATCTCCAGTTTTCAACTTTGTTAAGGTAGATAAAACTTCTATTGCATTTTATCTGTCTTTTTGCGTTTTTACCGTGTTTTATGCAAAAGGATTTGTTTTTTTTTGTGCGTTTTGCTGGATTTTTTCGGGTTTTGGCTAAAATTTTGCAGATTTTGATGAATTTTCGCATCATTTTCGCGCGTTCTACTGCATTTCTACCCGTTTCGTATATTTTCTACTGGCCTGGTTTCATATCATTTTGCTAGCCGTCTTTTTTCCTAAAGAAACTTCTACGATTATCTTCATACATTTTGAATGCGCACACAAAAACCTTTGATAACTGGTCTTATTCGTTTACCAAGGATATTAGAATTATGTGTAGTGATTACCAGATCAAAAATGCGTTTCTTAAAGACCCTCTTGAATCCGATAACCATTGCAATCGTTCGCTTTGTTGTGAGTATGATCTGCTTTTGAAAGTTGCTTTCTGATTGGGCTTTTGAAAGAATGGTATTAAAATTCTAAAAAGTGTCAGTTTGTTTTATGCGCACTTTTTTAGACAAGTTGAAACATTCCTCCACAAAAATGTAAACTTTTTCAACCAAATCTTTAAACTTTTTTATTTTTAAAGTATCTTTTCCYTTATATTAAGAAATCATTCAATTTTTATTTCTGTAATTATTTCAGTAATATAACAAGTGAGTTTTCGATTAGGCAATCATTTATTTCTGGTAAATTCGAAAGTCTCTGGACCATTTTGCCACACCAGAATTAGATTTTAATCAGTTAATCTCTTAATGGCCCGGAAACAATAGCTATAAAAACTATTATCACCTAATACAAAGTCATTTGATTGAATTACTGACGCAACTTAATTGCGAAAAGCTATTTAGAGAAACTTTGTGTCGAATTGTTTTAACTTTGAAACGTGAGGACTAGACACATACACACGTGAGATACGTACGCGTACGGACACGCTATAGGTAAGACGTGCGTACACGTAAGGTTTATGTGTGGCGCTTGYGAAACAACGAGTAAAATCGCCATTTCAAAGAACGCTTTCTTTTCGAGAGCAACTTTTCTCATCGCGAAACATTTTTAGCAAAAGCTGTGCGAGGTTTTCTACAAAATACCAACAGGAAATGACGCATATCAGAAAATTAAAAATATCTTGTACCACTCGTAGGAGTTAAGAGCAATTTCACGTGAATAAACGATGTCACTTTTTTAGATTAATTCGAGTTTTAGTCGGATTCCTGTAGTTTTCTTTTGTTACATTCTTATATATGAATTTGTTTTACAAATGACATTAGTTTTCCGGATGTGACGTGTATCCATCCTTTCCTTTGTCACTCTCCATGGGGAGATTTCTCACAGGACGCCCCGTACCGCTGCGGGTTTCCTGTGGCTGTGAAATCCGATTTAGTTGGAAATGAGCGGAAATTCGTTTACCAAGATTGAAAAGAATCGATTTTTACTTTCTTGATTGGAAGTGACGTCATCGCCGCCATGTTGGATGAAAATCACAAAGCATTCCTCATTAGTTTCTCTTGTTCATTCATCCAACATGGCGGCGACAGCTTTGTTCTTTATTTCTCAGGGGATTCTTGGTCACGTGGTTGCACATGAAGAATAATGGTTGGGGGCTGAGGGGGTGGGGGAGAGTGGGTGGTTGTTATCATGGTACTAGTAACTAAAGTAACGTTATTTACAATTTTTAGACTGGCTCGCCTCGTAACTCGCGTTCATCCAAAGGATTTCAAAGTAATTCCCCACCAGACCTCTTCGGCAAACCATCAGGCGACTCGCCTTTGTCACCAGACTCCAAGCAACTCAGCGGCGTCGACGGCGATATTAAAGAAGCTTTTGGCGACCGAAAGGAAGAGCCTGGTGCGAGGCGAAATTTACGTAATGATTTGCTCTTGGCAGCTGACTCTGTGACGAATGCAATGTCGTCACTCGTACGCGAATTAAATTCAGGTAACTATGGAGACAAGGTTTTTTAAAATTTTTTTATACCTTTAAAAATTGCTTTAAAGTAACTGGTTTAAAGACTAAGTTGTTTTATTTAATATGTAGAAGACGAAGACGATGCCACTCAAAACACCCACAAGAACGATACAGGCGAAGTAGACCTCGAAGCCTTAGAGTTCCAAGTCAACCAAATGCGTGAATCCCTGCGCTCCAGCGAGTCCCAGGCTCCTACCAAGCTTGCTAACGGGCACGGTGAAGTTAAGCAAGGATTCAAAAGACCGTTACGTAGAGGAGACAGCGACAGRACGGATACCGATACGGATGATGATGAGCTCCACTTACGTGTTGGAAACTACTCGTCCAGAAACCAGGTACGTTTTTTATTCATTTCTTGCGTTTTCTTTACGAATTACTGGCGTTTTTTTTGGCGTTTTTGTGCCAAAATGCTTTAAATTCTCCTTCAGTTCGCGAACATTTTATTGTATYCAGTGTTACGGGGCTTTACGTTTATCCGTATACTACGTTTATCCTGCTCACTTAACGCTTTCTGCTTACGCAATCCTATATCTTTAATGCGTCTTTCTTTGCGTAAATTCGATTACGCACGAGTATCTAGACGGAAGTAATATTATCAGAAGTGGGGACAAAACCGAAAATATTTCAAAAAGATATTTATTTTTTTGTTTTTTTTCCTCAGATGACGGACGATGAAAGCTACATCCAAACCGACGACGACGAAGGYAACTTACGAACAGACGACGAAGACATGGAATGGCGCGAAACAATGCAAMGATGGGCTAATCGATAAACCCTCGGAAATCTGAATAGAATAAATTTAAGACATTTTGTAGTTTAAGTTTACATTCAGAAAATAGATATATTTGTTTACTAAATAATTATAAACGCTAATCTATATTTTCTATATTTTTGATATCTCGTTTATATTGCCAGAGTACTGGGGACTAGCTTCCAGTCCTACGAGTGTTTTTAAGCCGACTTTGGTCGGCGTTTTTTGAGCGAATTTCTTTCTGTAAAAAGAGATCAAGCAGGCTATGGATTTTTCTAAACATTTCAGCAAAGTAGAATAAAAACCCTCGAGGTGAATATTAATTTAGGTGTTATATCAATTATCTATTTTCCTGCTATTATTAGAAATGAAAGAAAAATATTCAGACGAAAATGTGGTGTTCATTTTAATTGACTCAACTTTGCACAATCACACGTAACTTGCCCTCAGACYRGGCGTCGRAAATCATGTAGTTGGGACTGGGCACTAGTATTCGAAGCYARMAATGGGTGCCCTGTGGTACTGATTGASAGTTAATTTCTCTCATGGATTGAGTGCCATTTGACATGTGAAAATCGTATCGATTCTCCAATAGTGAGTTTATATTTTCCAACTTTTCGTCAGCGCAATATCCAGAMATGGGCAAGTTTCCTTAGTCCCCTCTCCCACAGTAACATTTTTGAAGTAAATTCTGACTGTCCTTCCCGTAGGCAGACATCTTTAGGGGGCTATACTTCTATRGGTACTGATTCAGAYTCATGGGGGAACACGCTGTTCAAGTGATCGAGGTCGCGTTTATCGACAGCCTGGTAWAGTTCTGGTTTACCCATGAGCGATAGAGTCATGCGCAGTGTGGACCATATGTTGTCTGACATGGTGGAGATGTTGCCATTTGGKATGTCAGAACCCTGGGAGTACATAKTAATAATGTCAACATAATACACTGCACAAGAAATACAAAATTCATTTTGTACTTAAGACAGAAGATGTCTTCGTAAGATTGTTAGTTTGTAAGTGTGTAGTTTGGGTATTTGATTCGTAAGACTGTTGGACTACTCATAAAATGGTTTATTGGTTGGGGTGTTTTGTTGGTTGGTTGGTTGTTTGGTTGGTTGGTTGGTTGGTTAGGTGGTTGGTTGGTCGGTGGGTTGGTTGGTTTGTTAGGTGGTTGGTTGGATGTTTGCTTGGTTGGTTAGGTGGTTAGTTGGATGTTTGCTTGGTTGGTTGGTTGGTATTTGGTTGGTTGGTTAGGTGGTTGGTTGGTCCGAGGGTTGGTTGGTTATTTAGGGGTTTGGTTGGTGAGTTTGTAGACTGAGTGGTTTTGTGGGATTTTTTAATACATYGTACCTTTCTTTGCATATTAAGAGCGGTCAAGAAATGTTCCACAGCTTCTTTATGCGCTCCAAGATTAATACAACTAATACCAAGATTATATCGACATCGAATAAACCCGGGACTGTACATCAGCGCATGTCTATAAGCTTCAACCGCTTCCTCACTGCGCCCGCCATTTGCTAGAGTAGCACCCAGTCGGTTCCATAACGATGAATCACTCGGACTAACTTGAAGAGCGGACTGGAAACAATCGACGGCTTTGTCGTACTCTCCTGAGAG